CCACAGGGCCTTGAAAACAGTTCCACAGGGCCTTGAAAACAGAGCTTTTTAGGCAGGCGTTCCGTTAGGAGCGGCGTCTTACCAGCAGCGCCCTGTGCGAACCCTGATTCAGTATGACCTAGCGCGGTGGCACCGCTAGAATGTGTCCTTAAATTGCACTTTATTTCTATCGCCATCGAAACTATGTTTTAATTTGATTTGTCTGTGTTTTAAATGATTTATGGTATTTTATCATTTGTAAAATGTATACTGTTCATCAGTTTCATGGAAGCCGCCCTGAGCCCGCCTCAGCGGGGAGGGCGGGGTAAAAGTTAAAGTAATAAATAAATAAATAGGTCGAGAGAGACGTCCTTTTCTCCCTTTCTCACAATACAAGAACTCGTGGGCACTAAATGAAATTGCTGAGCATTCGGGTTAGAACAGATAAAAATGGAAGTACTTCCTCACCCAAAGTGTGATTAACACATGGAATTCACTGCCACAGGAGGTGGCGGCGGCTGCAAGCCTCGACGGCTTCAGAAAGGAATTAGATAAGCATACGGAGCAGAGGTCCATCAGTGGCTCTTAGCCACAAGGTATAGATAGGAACTCTCAGTCTGGGGCAAGGGATGCTCTGTATTCTTGGTGCTTGGGGGGGAAGGGGTCAACAGTGAGAGGGCTTCTAGTGTCCTGGCCCCACTGGTGGACCTCCTGATGGCACCTGGTATTTTTGGCCACTATATGACAGAATGTTGGACTGGCTGGGCCATTGGCTTGGTCCAACATTGGCTTCTCTTATGTTCTTAACAGCATGGAAAACTCCATACCAGAATACACAGACATGTACCCACCAGCTACGTTGAAATCTGCTCCATGCACAGGGTTGCCAGGTCCCCCCTGGCCACCGGCATGGTATGGGGGGGGCTCAAGTGGGGTTGCCAGACCCAGGTTGGGAAACTCCTAGAGATTTGGAGATGGAGCCTGGGGAGGCCAAGGACCTCAGTGGGGTTCAATGCCCTAGAGCCCACCCTCCAAAGCATCTATTTTCTCCAAGGGAACAGATCTCTGTAGTCTGGAGATGAGCTGTAATTCCAGGGGATCCTCCCCAGGTCCTACCTGGAGGCTGGCATCCCTATCCATGCATCTACGACACTGACATATCCCCACATTAGGTAAAGGTTCCCTTGCTTGAAAGCCAGTTGAATCTGACTCTAGGGTTGCGGTGCTCATCTCCGTTTCAAAGCCGAAGAGCCAGCGCTGTCCGAAGTCGTTTCCGTGGTCATGTGGCCGGCATGACTAAACACCGAGGCGCACGGAACGCTGTTACCTTCCCACCGAAGTGGTACCTATTTATCTACTTGCAATTTCTTGCTTTTGAACTGCTAGGTTGGCAGGAGCTGGAACTAGACATGAGAGCTCACTCCGTCATGCGGCAACCCGGGTCTTGAACTGCTGAACTACCGACCTTCCACAGCCTGCAGTTCAGCGTCTTAACCACTTGAGCCACCACAGCTCCATCCGCACATTAGAGGGTCATATTTGGATCTGCCACCTGTCACTCGGCTCACAAGGCCATATATACGATGTGATTCTAAAAAAGTGCAGAATCACACAGTGAGTGGAGCTTTCAGCCCCCTAAGAACTGTGGATTTCATTTCTTCATTTAAAAAAAGAAAATAAAAAGCAAGTTGCTAGCTGCAGTGTAATAGGTTCAGCTCCAGAGGTGCCTTATTAAAGTTAAAGAATTTCCTTCACTGATTGTCTTGCTGCCTTCAATGGACTGGTGTTCTTCTGGGTCCCCCGAGCCCAACTGCATTATGTTGTCTTACTCGGAATCCTCACTGTTAGATTCAAATGTTATCGTATCTTTGTAATCCACTCATTGGATTTACTGAAAAGGGTTTTTTAAATCGTAATCTACATTGGGTCCCAGTGAGAAATATTAATAGACTCAGTGGACTAATAATAGCGATGGTATTATTATTAACAATAACCACCCCGTGACTGCTTAGTATTATGCGGGCGATGCCTGGCATGGTGTCCGAAATGCTACACCCGGAACCCCTATGTGCATAACACATTTGCCTCTTAGTAACTGTGATGGATTCGGAGACTTTCGTCACTTTTGACCCCTATGCCGACACCCACCTAGGAGCATGGTTGATCAGGGCCTCAGCACGATATTTGGGATAATTATAGGCTCGGAATTCCTCATTGGACAGGACTCCAGGCCACGTCTCTTCATTGGGTGTCCCTGACAGTGCAGAGGAGAAACAGAGATGAGTCAATCAGCAATAGCATGAACATCCTTAACCGGAGAGCAATGCTTTAGTATTGTAACAAGCCCTCAAGAGGCGGCTTTCAAGGGACATTCACACCAGCCCTCCTCTTTTACATTTTTTCCTTATCACCAAGGGGTCCCCCACCTGGTCCTCACGGGCTCCACGGCAGCCGACCAAATCTCTTCTAGTGCCTCCCAAGTGTTTTTGGAAGGTGGGTGGGGCTTAATGGAGCTTTTACCCAGCAAGGTGTCTGATTGGCCACTGGCGATTGGATTGGCTGTGCAGATAAAAACATCGCTTCGGCAAAAGCTGCCGCCGCAGCACAAGGATCTTCACTGTATGACTGAAGGTAAGCCGTGGCAGCCATCTTGTAGCTGGCTCCACCTCTTTCAGCAGCCATTTTATGTCAGCCATTTTGTGGCTGCGCCCACCGCCCTGTGTCAGAATTCCGAAGGTGCCTAAAGGTTGGGGACCCCTTTTATGACCCTTGCTGAGCTAGGGCAGAACTCTCCGTGCTTCCTCTACAGACTTGCTTTCTCCTGGAATCAGAGGCTTCTCCCTGACCCATTCAAAGGCTGAAGTTACGTACTTGCCCCATAGTTCATGAATAGAAGAAGGGTGAGGGACAGACTAATAAGAGACTAACCAAATCTGTGGCAGGGTAGGAGCTTTTGTGAGTCCCTAGACCTTGGCAAGTCTATGCTCCCAACGCTTCCGTTTCCCAAGATAATGTGAATGCACAAGGCGCATCTGAATTGCACATGGAAAGAAAGTGGTGCTTATTCCAGGGTTGCCAGCTCTGGGTTAGAGAATACCTGGACATTTCAGGGGGTGGAATCTGAGAAAGGTGGGCTTTGGGGAAGGGAGGGACTTCAGTGGGGTATAACCCCATAGTGTCCACCTTCCCAAGTGGCCATTTTCTCCTGATGAACTAGCCTCTGTCGCCTGGAGATCAGTTGTAATCCCAGGTCTCCAGCTACCACCTGGAGGTTGGTAACCCTAGCTTATTCCATCCCTTGAACTACCCGCACGGACTACTTCCCCCTCAGCCAAGCTCTCTTCAGGTTTTGGCTCAGAAGAAGTGATTCAAAACTACATGAAGGGGATATACAGGGGAAACGCAACAGGAGTGTGAACGGTTTGGCGCCCAAATACATGCCATTCACTTGCCCCAAAAATGCCCTCCCCAACATTTTTAGTTCCACCCTGAGGGCACACTCAGGGCTGGCTGAAGTGATGAAGCCTCTGTTTGGTCCTCAAAACCATTGTTTTGACATTGTTTCTCCCCCTCTGAGCCCAGAAGAGTTCTGCTGCCCATTATCCATGTTGTATGGTGCTTTCCACAACCCACTGTACAGCAGAGGGCTTCCTCTTCTCTGTCCCCCCCCCCAGGGCCTAATCAGCAATGCAACCCTGTGAGACCACATCAGGCCCATACCCAATATCCGAAAAATGAAGTGCAGCTGCTCCTCAACTGTGGAGCCGGGGAAAAGCGGCCGTCCTGTGGACATCTCGTAGAATATGCAGCCCACACCCCTAAGGGGACAGAAAGACAGGCATCAGTGGCTACAGGGAGGACGCACTGGGACCTGCCATCGAAACCCTGTTTTAAAATGGAATCCTAATTCTGGGCCCAGAATGGAAAATTCTGCACCAAGAAAAGCAAAATTCTGCAACCTGAATCTAACACGGAAAGCCCAGTGATCAAATAGCGGCACTTCGATACTCCGTATAGATGGATGTCTCCCCTAAGACTCTCGAAACAGCATTATGCAAAAAGAGGTGAAATGTATTTAATTCACATACAGGTTACAGATTTCAGCTTTGCATTCACCGGGCAATAAAACATTGATTCTTTTTTTCATTCCAATTGTTCACAACCCTGTCTACTATGTAAAAGTGTGGCTGCATACAGAAAGCAACAAACGGTAGACCCATGAGACTCGAGTGGGTGTTCCCATCCCCCCCATCACTGAGCCTGGCACAGCTCTAGAAGAAGAAGAAGAGAAGAGATTGGATTTATACCCCGCTCTTCACTACCCAAAGGTGTCTCAGAGCAGCTTACAAACTCCTTTCCCTTCCCCTCCCCACAACAGACACCCTGTGAGGTAGGTGGGGCTGAGAGAGCTCTGACAGAAACTGCTCTTTTTTCAAGAACAGCTCTGACAGAACTATGGCTTGCCCAAGGTCATCCAGCAGGTGCAAGTGGAGGAGTGGGGAATCTCCCAGAGTCCGCACACTTAACCACTACACCAAACTGGCTCTAGGCCCAACACCTACCACTGAGCCTGGCTGCTAGAGTCTACCACTGCCACCACCAGGCTGGAGTGGTTCCCTTTTCAACTGGTGTGTTTGTCTGTGCGTGTGCAAGCAACACAGTTGTATGTGGGCAGGGGGTTAAACTGCCCCCAATGTATTTTATATTTGATTTCAGATTATTCTGCAGACCTGGGGAGTTTCCCAAGTTTGCAGGAAAATCCGTTTATCATCGGTGTGGCCCCAACCTGCAGATTTAGGTATCCGCAGATGGTAGCCACACATCTCTAGTAGACATGTACATAGCTGTGAAGATGTGCAGCATTTCTACCACCTGCCTGCTGAGTAAATTTTCCATATCTGCCACGGCATACTGCCACGGAATCTGATATGAACTGGGAATATTCCAGCATCTTCTTTGGCAAAGATTACACAGAAGATACGAGGAGAGTTGAGGTGAACAAGGCACTCTTTTTTCAAAGTATATTCAGGGGAAGGCCTCGGCCTCTGTGCCCTGTTGTTGGCCCTCCAGAGGAACTGGTTGGCCACTGTGTGAGACAGGATGCTGGACTAGATGGACTGCTGGTCTGATCCAGCAGGGCTCTTCTCATGTTCTTATGAAGGCCTCGGCCTCTGTGCCCTGTTGTTGGCCCTCCAGAGGAACTGGTTGGCCACTGTGTGAGACAGGATGCTGGACTAGATGGACTGTTAGTCTGATCCAGCAGGGGCTCTTCTGATGTTCGTAAGATTTGACCCTGGAAGCAGTACATTTATATTTACTTAATGCATTATATAACTTTAATTTAAATGCATTTGGGCCTTGGACATCATTCTTTGACTGAGGACATTCCATCCTACCTCATCCCCACAGTAACTATGGGTCACACAACCATAAAATTTGTGGCCAAGGGGGTAGTCTCCAGAGGGCTGTGTAGAATCCTTACCACATGTCGATCTGCGTGGAATATTCCGTCGAGCCCAACAGGATGTCGGGGGGCCGGTACCAAAGCGTCACCACCTCATTGGAGTAGGTCTTGGTGGGAATGGATTTTGCCCGGGCCAGTCCTGACAGGATGTTAAAAAAATTATATATACGCATTAGGGCAGAGGTCACTAACCTCTTCTTTAATGAGAGCTACTTCTGCATACCAAAAAATATCCCAAGATACCTTTTTCCCCAGGACATATTTTCAAGTTTTGTTCTGTCCCCAAAAAGAGATAATGGACAAGGAAAAGCACCTCAAGAGAAGCCATCAACTAAGGAATTAGAATAAAATCATATAAAACCAAAGTCTTTTTTTTTTTAAATGAGAAAGCCTAGAACCAGGCCTGTAGCTACAGTGGGGCATTTTGGGGCTCTGCCCCCTCAAACATGAGGCACGCCACACAACAGCTGCTGTCCCTCTCTGCCTCCCCCTCCCTCCACTCCTGTGGCATTAAAAGGGCCCTCCAGCTGATCGACGGGAGCACGTGGCCACCAACCAGTTGGAGGGCCCTTTAAATTTTGCAGCCGCCCCTCTCCCTCCCCTCCTCCAGGAATTAAAGGGCCCTCCAAGCTGATCAGCGGGCCCTTTAAATCTTGCAGGAGGTGAGGGAGAGGGGCGGCTGCCGGCCACACGCCTTCCCTGAACTCCAAGCCACAATTCTGCTGCTTGGAGATCGGGCATGGGAACCCTTTAAATGCTGTTTTTCTCGTGGGGGCTGCCTGAGCCTGATCTCCAAGCAGCAATCAGGGAAGGCATGCAGCCACCCCTCCCCCATCCCCCCCCTCCACTGCTGCCCCACAAAATTTCCTCATGCCCCACCAACCCAAAATTTCTGGCTACGGGGCTGCCTAGAGCAGATATTTTTGCCGACTTTCTCCAGAGGCTTCTAGGGCAGTGTTTCCCAACCCGGGGGTCAGGACCCAAAAGCGGGTCCCGAAACCTGTAAAAGTGGGTCGTAGGCCACCCCTGCCCTTTCCATTGTTCATTTGTATTTTGGAAATCAAGAAAACCCTCACCTTCAAACTGCTTTAAAAGGGGATTAGAGAGATTCACGGAGGATAAGTCTATCAGTGGCTACTAGCCATGGTGACTGAGGAAAACGTCCGCATTCAGGGGCACTAAGCCTCTCTATCCCAGAACCAGGAAGAAACATCAGGGGAAGGCCTCGGCCTCTCTGCCCTGTTGTTGGTCTTCCTGAGGAACTGTTGTTGGTCTTCCTGAGGAACTGGTTGGCCACTGTGTGAGATAGGATGCTGGACTAGATGGACCATTGGTCTGATCAAGCAAGGGCTCTTCTTATGAAGGTCTCTATGCCCTGTTGTTGGCCCTCCAAAGGAACTGGTCAGCCACTGTGTGAGATGAGATGCTGGACTAGATGGACCACTGGTCTGATCCAGCAGGGCTCTTTTAATGGTCTCATGAAGGCCTCAGCCTCTCTGCCCCGTTGTTGGCCGTCCAGAGGAACTGGTTGGCCACTGTGCGAGACAGGATGCTGGACTAGATGGACCACTGCTCTGATCCAGCAGGACTCTTCTTATGAAGGTCTCTATGCCCTGTTGTTGGCCCTCCAAAGGAACTGGTCAGCCACTGTGTGAGATGGGATGCTGGACTGGATGGGCCACTAGTCTGATCCAGCAGGGCTCTTCTGATGTTCTTACGAAGGCCTCAGCCTCTCTGCACTGTTGTTGGCCCTCCAAAGGAACTGGCTGGCCACTATGTGAGACAGGATGCTGGACTAGATGGGTGCCAAGGTCGTAGTTTGTCTAGAGTGCCAAAAAACCTTGGACCACCACCCCCTGATGGGTCACCACACCAAGGAGAGAGGGAGGGAGGGAGGGAGGGAGGGGATGGTTAATTTTTTTCACTCACCAAAGTCCGCTAGCTTGAGCTCCCCTCTTTCATTGATAAGCAGGTTCTGGGGCTTGAGGTCTCGGTGCAGCACCTTCTGACGGTGGCAGTAGGCTAGGCCACGGAGCAGCTGGAAGAGGAATAGCTGGAAGAGGAAACAAAGCCATGTCGGTTCTGTTTTTCCCTTTGGAACGCCTGCTGTGTTCGGTGCGGATCGGAAAGAAAGAAGAGACAACCAAGAGGGGAATGTAACAGAGGTTTATAAAGTTAGGCATGGGGCGGAGAGAGCTGACAAAGGGAACTTTTTCTCCCTCTCCCCAAATACAAGAACTCAAGTCATCCAATGAAATTGATGGGCAGTAGGCCCAGACAAAAGGAAATATTCCTTTACACAGAGAGTAACTGACATGTTAGATTCGCTGCCAGTCAGAGGCTGTCATGATGAAGAGAAGAAGAGATTGGATTTATACCCCGCCCTTCACTACCCAAAGGTGTCTCAGAGCGGCTTACAAACTCCTTTCCCTTCCCCTCCCCATAGGAATAATATTCCCCACAGGAATAATCAGCTTTCAAGGGGGATTAGATAGATTCACGGAGGATAAGTCTACCAGTGACCACTAGCCATGGTGGCTGAGGCGAACCTCCACATTCAGAGGCACTAAGTCGCTGAATCCAAGAGCCAGGAGGCAACATCAGGGGAAGGCCTCAGCCTCTATGCCCTGTTGTTGGCCCTCCAGAGGAACTTGTTGGTCACTGTGTGAGACAGGATGCTGGACTGGATGGACCACTGGATGGACCACTGGTCTGAGCCAGCAGGCCTGTTCTTATATTCTTATGTTCTAAAAGCCCACAAATTAAGAAACAGCAAAGCATTTGTTAGGTTCCTTTGAGTACTGCAAAAATTTATCCAGGTTTCTAACATTTATTCCAGAAACAATTTTACTTGGTAACTAACACTTCTTGGTTTGTTGCAGTCCTAAACTAAGTGGGCCGCATCATCACCTACAGCCAGATCCAAAGCAAAGACAACAGGCAGGCGGGGTATGAGCTCCCACGTGAATGTCTCACAGTTACCCGAGTCTTTGCCCGGCAACACAGGTCTAGTGTGGGCCAGGGCTGACTCACTCAAGCGGACACCAGCTATGGTTGCCAACCTCCATGTGTGGCCTGGCGCTCTCCCAGAATGACAACAGATCTCCAGGAGAAAATGGCTGCCTTGGAGGGTGGACTCCAGGGCATTAAGCCCCACAGAGCCCCCCCCCTCCCCCAGGCTCCACCCTTAAAGCTCCAGGAATTTCCCAGTCTGGAGTTGGCAACCCTCGCACCAGCTGGCACTTGCTCCCAAGTGGCACAGGTGAGTAGCAGTGCGCAGGGGGGCTTGCTGCCTCCGAAGAGCCAAATCACTGACAGCTGGATCCAGAGGGGTCTGGCAGTGGTCAGAAGCACAGGGGCATGGGCCTTGTGACCTCCAAGTCCTGGGCACTGCCTGGTTGCAAGGAGAGCCCCTGTAGACTTATTAGCACTGCCGAGCACTAAAGGCTGCTGTGCTTGGAGCCTGACGGCTAACCCCTCCCCACAACCCCCACCAGCTAAAAGTTCCCATGCACACGCAGTGTCGTCACAATGACAGAAATAGGAGGGGGGATATCCTCTTTGGCGGAGGGCATTTTTAAGAACATAAGAGAAGCCCTGTTGGATCAGGCCAGTGGCCCATCCCGTCCAACATGCTGTGTCCCACGGTGGTCAAAACCCAGGTGCCATCAGGAGGTCCACCAGCGGGGCCAGAACTCCAGAAGCCCCTCCCACTGTTGCTCCCCTCCAAGCACCAAGGATACAGAGCATCGCTGCTCCAGACAGAGGGTGCGTTCAGACGGGCCATTCAAGCCGGCATAAACTGCTCCAGTTGGAACGGAGCAGTTTGATCCGGAAGAAACGCGATCACACTCACCTCCTGACTGCGCAGCACATCGTGATATGCCCGTTCATACTACCAATGTGCAGCAGCGTGCGTCGGCGGTTTAAAAAAAATTTTTTTATATATTTTGCACATGCGCATAGGCAGCCATCCACAGAGTTAGATCTTTGCACAGGCGCAGAACACCCCGTCCTGAAAAGCGTGCCCTGAAGCGAAGACTTCCCTTTAAACTTTTACAGCGAAAAGGGCCTCCGTGAGGTCCCAGACTCGTCCGCAGCCTAAAACTAAGCATCTTTTTTTGTTTTGTTTTACAAATGCCGGGACGAAGCTTCGCCCAAGCGCACATCGAGGAGGCTAAAAGAAAAAAATGGCGGCCGAAAAGCGGAAACCTCAGGCTTCTGAACAGAAGTGGCTCTACACCGACGAAGAGCGATCAGACGGGGATAATGCGGTTGGAACCGGAGCACTCAGGATACCACCACTTGGGGACCTAGTAGCAGAATACACTGGTTTAAAGGGTGTTTGTGACGGTTAGGGACGGAAGGCAGATGTTCGCTGTGTGATTGCGCGTAAGTACTCCGATTCTAACCAGCATTTATACCGGCTTAAATGCCTGTCTGAATGCACACAGAGTGTTCCATAAGAACCTAAGAGATGCCAATGTTGGATCAGGCCAATGGCCCACCCTGTCCAACACTCTTGTGTCACACAGTGGCCAAAATACCAGGTGCCATCAGGAGGTCTACCAGTGGAGCCAGAACTCCAGAAGCCCACCCTCTCTTGCCCCCCAAGCACCAAGAATACAGAGCATCACTGCCACAGACACAGTGTTCCCTCTATACCTTCTGGCTAATAGCCACTGATGGACCTCTGCTCCACATGTTTATTCAATCCATTCTTAAAGCTGTCTGTGCTTGTAGCCGCCGCCACTTCCTGTGGCAGTGCGTTCCACGTGTTAATGTCTCTTTGGGTGAGGAAGTACTTCCTTTTATCTGTTCTAAGCCTACTGCTCACTGCTTTCCTTGCATGCCCACGAGTTCTTCTATTGTGAAAAAGGGAGAGAAGTACTTCCTCTCCCTTCTCTATCTCATGCAGGGCTATTTTTGGGCAGGAACGCGCGCAGGAATGGAGTTCCGGCTGGCTCCCGAGTTGGCCACGCCCAGCAGGAACTCATTAGCATAATAGGCCACACCCAACAGCAGAAACTCACTAGGATTGGCTACATTAGGGGTGTTTGGCCTAACATGCAAAGGGGTTCCTGCTACAAAAAAAGCCCTGGGTTTTGACAACAAACAAGGTAAACAGAGTAAGAAGCAAAAGGTGGGTGTGGCTGGATGACCACACTTCTGGTAACATGGGGGTGCGGTCTAATGTGCTAATGAGCTGTGCTGTCAGGGGTGTAGCCTAATATGCTAATGAGCTTCTGCTGTTGGGTGTGGCCTATTATGCTAATGCGTTCCTCCTGGGCTTTCTCTACAAAAAGAGCCCTGAATTCCCATGCATAATTTTGTAAACCTCTTGTCATGTCACTCCCTCAGTCGTCCTTTCTCCAGGCTAAAGAGCCCTAATCCTCTTTAACCTTTCTCCCTAGGGAAGATGTTCCATTCCCATAATCATTTTAGTTGCCCTCTTCCGCACTTTTTCCAATGCGACAATATCTCTATTGAGGTGTGGCGACCAGAACTGTACACAATGTTCCAAATGAGGCGGCACCACAGATTTATAAAGGGGCAAAGATTTCTCCAAAGATGGCCTACTGACCTAAGCTACCACTGGGTTTAGCATCCTGTGATGCTGCTTTCCCCCCCCCCCCCAAACACCACCAGGTATCTACACAGACACAGAGAGGAGACAGTGCTTACCTTCACATTGTGCATATTTATGACATTGCCACAATCATCTAAGTACTGTTTCAGGTCTTTATCCTGCAGAGAGGGAAGAAACACAAAGAGATGGCTATAAAAATCGGACACGGCTTCTGTTTCTTTCATTAAGCTGGCAATCCTATTACATAATTCCCTGGCAGCAAGTCCTGTGGAACTCAGGAAGTCTTCTAAAACAAGAATGCATAGAGGCACACTGTTCTTTATGAAGTCGGTGGGTGCCATTCATCCTGGGGTGGGGGGATACCCCACCTGGGGTGGGCACTGGGGGGAGAGGGCAAAAGGGGTTCTGACAAGTCCTGGCAATTCTTCCCTCTGTGGGCAGCTCTTCTAGGATTCATAGGCTTGGGTCCAGTGATGCAGAAGCAGAAAAGTTCTGCTCAAGCCAGATCTGCCACAACACACAGAACTCTCCTTCCTATAGTGCTCGGAAATTGCCTGCCCAGTGTCTTGTGCAAGTGGGAAAAACAACTCCACTTGTGCACAGAACCCCAGGCACATGCAGAAAAATCTTCTGAGTGGATCCAAGCCACTGTGCTTGGACGCACTCAGTTTCAGTTGCACAATTTCTTGCAAGTGGATGCAAGCCATTTCAGTTGCACAATTTCTTATAAATCACCATGAACTGATACCCATAGCTGCTGTTTTGGTTTTTTTGGCTGTAAAATTCTGGTAAAGTCTCACATGCGTCAGACACATTTTCCCCCTAAGACAAATCCTTTTGTTCACCTGGCTAGCTGTGCTGGTCTGAAGCAACAGAACAAAGTTTGAGTCCAGTGGCACCTTTAAGGCCAACAAAGTTTAATTCTGGGTATAAAGCTTTTGTGTGCAGGCACACGCCTTAGTATCTGAAGAAGTGTGCTTGCACAGGAAAGCTTATACCCAGAATTAAACTTTGTTGGTGTTAAAGGTGCCACTGGACTCAAACGTTGTCCTTTTTGTTCACTGTGAGGCTAAACCTCCCCCCCCCCCCATGTGCAGCGGTTTAAGAAACCCCCAATTCGATTCTTACTTAAACTACAAGCCTGTTAGGTGTCTTGGGAGCAGAGCTTCTTCCCTCCGCTCACCTGACATATGAAGTTTAGGAGTACTGGTCTAATTTACAGGATTGTTGCAGTTGGTATAGAGATCAGGCTTCGGGGGAAGCATTCCCAGAGAGGATTACATCAATGTGAAGGGACGACTGGTTGTCATTACCGTGCTCCACAGGATTAACCTTCCACAAACGTGGACCACTTTTCCGACAAAAATTAAAAGGGTCCAGAGGCAGGTTAAGTATCACTGAAATGCTGGTTTGGAAAGGGTGCTGAGAATTGTCTTTAGTGTTTTGAGATCCCGTTTGGTTTAGTGGTTAAAGAGGGGCAGACTCTAATCTGGAGAACCGGGTTTGATTCCTCACTCCTCCACACAAAGCCAGCTGGGTGACCTTGGGCCAGTCACAGTTCTCTCAGAGCTGTCAGCCCCACCTACCCCACAGGGTGGCTGCTGTGGGGGGAGGGAGGGAAGGCGATTTAAAGCCGCTCAGAGACTCGTTCAGGTAGTGAAAAGCAGGGTACAAAAACTAACTCTTCTTTTTCCTTTTTGATTTTTCCCAGCCAGTCGCAGCTGACTTAACAGCGACCCCGTAGGGTTTTCAAGGCAGGAGAGGTCCAGAGGTGGTTTGCCCTTGCCTGCCTCTGCATGGCAACCCTGGACTTCCTTGGTGGCCTCCCATCCAAGGACCGATCCTGCTTAGCTTCCTAGACCTGACTGGATCAGGTTAGCCTAGTTGTTTAGCCCCCTCATTAAAGTACAATTCCCCACGAGTCCTCGGGAGGAAATGGCGACAGTTAAAGCTGCCCTTCAGTTTGTACAGCCAATATAATCTTCGTTCATAAGAAATGGTGGTGGTGGAAAGCGTCACCAACTTGCAGCTGACGCATGGCGACCCCGTAGGGTTTCCGAGGCAAGAGATGAGCTGAGATGGGTTTGTCATCACCTGCCTCTGCAGAGCAACGCCGGACTTCCTTGGGGGGGGGGGTGTCTCCCAGGGGTCATTTTGTAGAAAAAGAGGTGCAGGAGCTCATTAGCATAACTCATTTGCATAACTCATTTGCATATGCCACACACCCCCTGACATCACCGGAAGTGTGTCAGAAGGCAACACCAACCGCTCAGGCTCCACTGGACTGTTTTGGATTCCTAGCTATTGGG